CTTCATAAGCCTAAGAAATCGAGCCAAACTCGAACTACTCATTGCCTCCTGAAAGTTTGAATCAGGTTATGCTGCCGAAAAGCTGAAAGCTTGCTTGAATCATTTCGAATATAGGCGCTAACACTGAGAGCTCATACTGTTTCCCCTCTAGTGTAAGAGCTTCAGGAAGCTCTAAGAGTTGTGATAGCTACTCACTAACCGGAAGGCAATCTCAAGCACTGTCATGTGAAGTTGGAAGTATGCATGAAACGAGACTTCCTCGTTTCTATTCTCAGCCATTTTATTAAGCTGTTTTGGTGACAATACCACAAGTCTGGCTCGAAGACGTGCTTGCCAAGGGTCCAGCCAACGTACAAACCATTGCTTGGTGCTAGTCCGCATGAAGAATGTGGGGCATTCTGTAGACGGTCGACGGACCGGGCACTTTTGTAATACCCTATAACCTCCTGTAAACCTACAAAGCTTTACTTACTTCATTTACCTGTATGAATGTCTCCCCCCCCCCTTATCACTCAAAAACCTGACCGTTTTCCCTGTGGTGATTATTCTTTCTAATTCTCCTTATCAGACATTATCTACTCTGCCTACTCTTCCATTAGGTTGGCGGGAAAGTTCTGTCATACTTTTTTGAACCCAAAATACTTGCCTATTACCTGAAGAGGGACCGGTAATGTGAGCAGTTATACATCAAGGAATGGTCTTTCTATTGGTATCACTGGCTTGACTCCTGCTTCTCCTTATTCTGCAATATGGACAAGAATGTTATCCGCTACCTTCGGCACCGACCCCTTCAAGTGCTTCCTCAAACTCTTTCTTCTACCACCCTGGCGCCAGCATGACAGCTGTCGACGCCGAAATAATGGAGCTGCACAAGGACAATGTCTACAGTCATCAGACAATCTTCCACGACGCTAGCTCTTCAGAGCGGGAGCCTACAGTTCGATGCGAAGTGAGGGTTGGGGTACCTGTGAACTCAAGCTTAGGGAGCTTGTGAGTCGAGAAACTGCTGATGAAGAATGGTTCTCGGTCAATCCTACGCAAAAGCATACGAGATGAAGTTGAATCGTCGATCAGATGGGAAAAAACTTGTCGCAAAGTCCGCCGTCGGGTTCCTTTGCAGCACACTCCGATCCAAAAAGTTCAATTGCTGGTATATTTAGATGGGCCTCTCCCCTTGTGTTCTTTTCGCACCGATGTAGTCGGAAATTGCCTCTTTCAATTGCTAGTTGCTCCTGTACTCAACCGTATCGGGGCGATAAAACGTCTTCGACCCGGAGCCCAAGGTCACTAGTTGAGATGCATGTCCAATTTGCGATCGCGCCTGGCCTGTATGTGAAGCGATGGCATCACGAAGGGGACTTCAAAAACTGGCAAGGATCCCGCATTAACATTGCTGTATAATTTTGATCTTGTACGCCTCTTTATACTTTTTACTGTTGCCTAATTTGAAGAAATGTGGACAGAGCATCTCCGCCAGCCTAATATGGCATTACGCAGCTGTTCAGCTCGATGCACAGCCAAACCCATGTCGAGTTCATCTCTCAACCGTTTATTTGATTGCATTGTACTCCTTGCATGCCTTTTTTAAAATCAAGTTTTGCTTGCCTTCTATAATTCATAGGCTTTTTGAATGTTTCAGTGTGCTTCAGGCTGCATTTTGCATCACTTAATTCACCATTATAGCACGTACAATTGCTCACGCAGTCTGTGGTAATGTGTTATCACGACAGTCGATTGGAAGTGATATAGACCAAAAAGAATAAACAGATTAAATAGATGAAACCTAAAAGTATGGTCTCAGAAAATAAATTATAATAAATTGTGAGTATCGATCTCTGTTCCACGACACAGTCGCGCTCTGAAGTTGTCACGGGACGCCGAGCATGGGCGAAAGGGTAGACCCCAGGCCGGAGCTTTCTTACAACGTTCTCCGCTGACGGTTGCGAGTTCGCTGTCCATTTACACCACGTGGGGCTGCTCTTACTCTCCCGCTTTATTTTCTATTGTGTTCCAATAACTCAGCATTCTATGATTGATAGCCTTGGTAAGAAGGTACATTTTGCTGGAGTACTGTGCGAGGTTTTACCCTGATTCGACTTCTGATGATTTGAGCCAGATTGACGCTTGCAATTTAAAAGAACAAAAGCGTAGGTACAAAATGAGATTCTAAAGGAAAAGTAGGAATTAGGTGCTTCGCTCTGTCTTCGTTCCATGTGTGCACTACAAAACATCAGCTTAATGCCAGAAGACCACTAAATCGTAGGTAAAGTGGCTATTTAAGAACGAACTGGACTCGCGTTACTATGCTGGAGGTGCTTCATCGTTCTTCAACATCGGTAATCTTGCTGCTGCCATTGAGTCATGCCATGACATTATGGGTGTCACTCCCGTGGCTCAGGAACACGTTCGATGGGATCCGACGCCATTTGGTGGGTCATTGTTTCACGCTGTTTCAATTGTTAGGATACCGTGAGGGAAAGTTGTGATATTGTCATAAAGTCAGAAACTCTGCAACCATTCTTGGTAGCTTTCGTTCCCAAACTCAATTTATCGGTCTACACGATTAAACCACACAGAGCGCCATGGTTTGCTGAACCTTAAGGGGTAATTTGATGTATAACGTAATGATAGATCATCTCGAAGGCCGAAGGAAAACTGATGTAATCATTAACTCTTGTAGTGCTTCTATTTGTGAAGTTGTTCCTAAGAGTTTCCAGGGATTAGAAGGTTCGAGCTACATTTTCGGTATCTGGTGCAAGCATCAAGTTTCAAGATTCCTATAGAACTTTTTGCGTTGAACATTGGTACATTAATTATCTCTCACCTAACCTTACGTTTTAGGATGGGCTCCACGACCAGAAGCCGCACTAGTGTTGGGCCGAAGTCGCGCCGTCATCTACCCTGATCTTCTACCTGGGGTGCAACCAGACCTCTTCGATTTCAATCACCAGTTCTTCACTGCTGGAGAAGATTTACTTCTGGCTCACGCTCTAGTACAATTTCGCCATCTCCCTCATTCCAGTTCTCAGGATCCTTATGGACGGTACCTGCTAAGTGTCATTTTCAATTCACGTTTTTGGGACTGACTTGGTCATTGCGATTAGTAATAACGCTACTGATATTTTCAGATTATATTGGGTGCAGAGAATGCTTTTACCTTGCAAAACGATAGCGCAGATACGTAGCCATCTCAGAGTTGCTCGTCATCACTACGACGGCGAAGTCAACAATCGCAATCCTTTGTATCACATAATTGTGGTGAGAGTTGCCATTTCTTTTGCCACCTTGTTTAGAGATATGTGGTCATGTATTGGGCGCGGTTCGGCGACGGAGGGAGGCATTGTGCGCTCTCGCTGCTCCAATAGTTCCGGTTCACTAGTCTTG